AATCTGTTTCATTTTCTCCAATGGGTTCTTTAACTTTTAGAAGCTGGCAGAGATCTCGCAGCCCCCATGGACACCCTAGTGAGAGGGAAGGATTCGACTTCTCTCTGCCCCAGGCTGGCAGGGTGGCTGCTGCCTGGCCTCAAGTCCTGGCCCTATGGCTGCTACTTCCACTCTACTGGGACCCACAGCACAGCTGCGTGCGCTTTGAGGAGAAGCCTCCTCCCAAGAAATGCTGTGGTTTATGAAGTAATAGAGGATTTTTTTTTTTAAGTAAACATTTCAGTTCTCTTGCTTCCAAGCCTGGGGGATCACTTAGCTCCAAGGATTGCAACTGGAATGTAGAAGCTCTATGTGCCATCTTACACACCCCAAATCACCACTGATTTTTTTCCCTTGATGGGTCTTTTCCCCCTCCCTTTCTAGTTAGTTGCTTGGTAACTGGGGGATACACTTATTCCAGTTTGAGTCTGAATCAGAGTCAGAGTAGGAAATGGAATTGAAGTTGGTACAATGATGGAGAGTCTGCCCTGGAGTCTAATGGAAACACTATTGGTGCAAGGACGGGGTGATCAGGCACCTGGAAGCACAGGCAACTGCCCAGAATTGAAAGTAGAGTAAATCTCTACTGTTTTTGAAGCTGTGTACAGTAATACAGTTTGGAGGCATTTGTGTGTGCTGTTGTTTTTTTTTCTGGAAAGAATGGTGATAGCTTAACTAATGATGCTTCCAAAAGGCCAAAGAAAGCCCACAGCTCTCCTCTGTCTGGAATCCACGGAGTGGAGATTGACCTCGGGAATAGAAGGAAGGAACACTCTGGCTCCATCCTACACCTTCCCTTCAGCACCATTAGCCCCTGACCATTGGCACTAGTTGGGCCCTTGTGGGGGCCCTCTGGGAAGCAGGGTAGGAGTTTGGGTGCAAACCGAGAGGGTGCAAGAGTAGAGTTACTTCGGCAGAATCTAATTATCAGCTGGAATTGTGCCATTTGGACATAGGGAAGCATGGAGAGTTTTCCCCACAGCGCTGGATTAAAAAATTGATCCACAGACATCGTTCCCATGGCTTTAGCTAACTGTGATGACTGAGCAGTCCTAGATCATGGCAACCTCACAGGGAGTATGTCAACTTCTGGAAGTAGAGACCCTGTTGGCTTCTGCTTTTTGCTTTCTTTTCTGGGGAGGGCAGAGATGAGCTACACTGCTGCAATGCTTAGGGGCTACTCCTGGCTTTTTGCTCAGCAGTCACCCCTGGCAGTATTTGGCAGATCGTACGCAGTGCTAGGGTTTGAACCAGAGTCAGCTACACACCAGGCAAGCAACTTAACCCCTGTACTGTTTTCCTGGCCCCACTATGAAGCTTCTGGAGACATTCCTCTCCTTCTCAGTGAGCAGATGCTGCCTTCCCTCAGTGCTAGTTAATCTCCAGATATCGCCTTGGGAAAGAGAGCAGGAACTCTATTCTTCCCAGTCTGAATTTGTAAATAAATATAAATAAATATATATTGAATCACTGTGGGAAAAGTTACAAAGCTTTCAGGTTTTAGTCTCGGTCATACAATAATCAAACACCTTTCCCTTCACCAGTACTCATTTTTCACCACAAAGAACCCCAATACACTCCCCCTCCCACCCCTCCCAATGCCTGTGAGGCAGATGATTTCTACTTAGCTCTCTATGTACTTTGATTACATTCATTAATTAGATAAAAGATGCACCATTATTGTTTAGAGTTTCTACCCAACAGTCAGTCAGAACTGCTGAAAAGGCATTGTGAAATAATTTGTTTTCTATAGCTGGTTATGAGAACCATATGATGTGGCGCAGCCGTAATGCGGCCGCACGATTTTTGATTTCTGATATTTTACTTATTAAGTCTGGAGGGATTTCTGCCAAGAGTCAGATAATTACGAGATTGGTTTCTGTGGCTCTGGAGCCATGGCCGTGCCGGAGAGCTGCTCGTGGGGGCAACTCATGACCTTGGTAGGGCGTGAAGGATGAGCTGGGAACGCCCCCCTTCCCATGAGGTTGCAGTTGCCCCATCACTGCCAGCTCATACCTGGCTTTACAATAAGCTCTGAGGCGGCTCCATTTTGCTGCCCCGGGGGGGAAAAAGGCGAAAGGGAGCGACACCCTTTGCTTCCCGGGGAGGCTTGGTATCATGGTTTAATGCATAGTTCATTCACTTTTCTGCTGCAAGCTGCCAGGCTCTGCATTAAGTCCTTGTGTCTCTGGAGCCATGGCCGTGCCAGAGAGCCGCTCGTGAGGGACAACTTATGACCTTGGTAGGGCATGAAGGACGAGCCGGGAATGCCCCCCTTCCCATGAGGTTGCAGTTGCACCGTCACCCTCTGCATTTGTTCTTAAGGATGCTTTATACTTCTAGTGAACTGCTGTGCCTGGGGTCTCATCTAGAGAGAGCTTGAACTGAACTTTCTGTCTTAGCCCCATGAAGTCAGCATGGTCTGTAGGAAGAAATGGTGCTCTTTGAATAATGTGTGCTTCTTATACCCATGGGGGGCTCCTTTGGCCCAGTTGGGGCTCTGTTATTCATAGTCTAGCCTGTGAGTCTGCATGCCATGAGCTCTCATTCTTTCTTTTTTTTTTGTGCTTCTTGGGTCACACCCAGCGATGCTCAGGGGTTACTCCTGGCTCATCTCATGCACTCAGGAATTACTCCTAGTAGTGCTCAGGGGCTGGAGCGATAGCACAGCGGGTAGGGCGTTCGCCTTACAAGCGGCCAACATGGCCGACCCGAGTTCGATTCCCCCGCCCCTCTCGGAGAGCCCGGCAAGCTACGGAGAGTATTCGATATGCCAGACACAGTAACAACAAAGTCTCCGTTGGAGACGTTACTGGGCCCGCTCGAGCAAATCGGCGATCAACGGGAGGGCCATTACCTTTTTACCTTTAGTGCTCAGGGGACCATATGGGATGCTGGGAATTGAACCAGGGTTGGCTGTTTGCAAGGCAAATGCCCGACCTGCTTCAGTCCCTATGAGCTTTCCTTCTGCAAAGTCTTTAGTGCCCTTGCCTTGGATCCAACAGAAGCAGTGGTTGCGCTGTATACAAAGACTGAGTCTTGAAGCCTTGGTTGTTGCTGGAGTGGCTTCTCAGTTCTTTCCTCGTAGCCAATCATGGCCTCATGGAGCTCTTAGATGGAGGCTGTCACTTTTTCTTTGTCTCTGAGCCTGGATCGCTGAGACCACAAAACACATGGATAGATTTAAGAGACCATTTAGGTGGCATCCTGGCAATTTGATTGCCATAATTTTAAATGCCACTATTTTCTGATTGTTTTATTTAATGGACTATAAAGATATGGCTAGCCCATAGCTTCCCTGGGTATATTTATTCAGCTTTAAGTTTTAATCTTAGATTGTTGGACTTTCAGAGAATGGTGGGGCAGGGTTTTTTCTAGATCTCAGCTCTGACCTAAGTACTTTGAAAATTTAAAGAAGATTATCAAATAACTCTTCTAGCAGAGGCTGGGTTTATCATGGTCTCTAACAGATTTGTCTGTTGATGTTCTGTGAGTTTAATGGGTCTTGATGCCTGGACTAATGCTTACTGTCTCTAGTTGTCTGTTCATACAGGAGAGGTAGAGAAGCAGGAAATAAGGGGGACTCATAAAATTAGAAGGCAGACATACATATATCAGGCTAGGTGTAGTTCTGTGACATAGCTGATATAATACTCAACATTTCTGTGTCATGCTAAGGAGATACCACTTTGGATAAGCCCTTTAGAAGCCCTCAAGAACTTCTCTTTGGAAAGAGATTTGAGGTGGAATTGAATAGCTTGTTCAGTGTCCAACATGGATGAATTGAGACCCTGCTTTGAGTCATCTGTTATCAGACATTGGAATATATCACTGAAACTTTTGCATTATTGCTTCCAAGTTCTCATGTATTTGGGTTCCTGTCCTGTGTGGCCACTTCACCACTTATACTTGATTTCTCCTGCTTCCATTTCTCTGAATAGACAAAAGCTAAATGACTTTATTTGGATCCTAGTATTAAATTCCTGAGCCAAAGACTACCCCCACTTTCAACTGCCTCAGTTAGGTTTCATGACCTTCCCTGGTCTGGTTAGGTATAGACAAGGTCTGGAGTCCTGTGGTTTCTACGTGGCAGCTAAGTGCTCAGTCCTTTGTGGGGGGACGCAAGGAGACAGTCGATATGATGGTTCATGAAGCTGACAAGGTCCTTGACCTCAAATTTACAATCTAGAAAGAAAGGTATTTTATATAGATAATGGTGGGGCAATGTTCCAGACTGTATGACAATTAAACCTAAGCTTAGATGTCTGTTCATACAGGAGAGGTAGGAAAGTCTGAGCTCCCAAAAGCTTTCCCAAGGAAAGGTAGATAGAGTTAACTAAAGTGGGCAAAACAGGAGAGGAGGAAGGAAAGGTTAGTGGGTGAGAAATGAATGTTTCAGGCAGAGGAAAGGAGAAAGCCCAGTGGCACGAAAAACTCTCTGACACTGGGTGGTGTAGAAGAAATAGGAAGAAACACACTTAAAAAATTAGCACGAACGGTCCAATTATATGCATTCTCCTTCACTTACCTATTGGATTGGCTCTGGAACCCATTGGCATGATAAAATTTGATGTGGCAGGTCTTGTTCCATTTAATGGAAGAGTTTCTTTTCAACTTATTGGAGTTTCAGCTTTGAATTCCTTTTATGTGTCTTAAAACCTATACCCCTTCCCCTTCCTGGGGCAGATGGATCACATCCCCACAAGAATAAGCTTCTTCCCCTCTAGACTGGCACAGATGGATCCTTTCGGGATGAATCAACAGTTGCCCCTATTTTTTTTCCTTCCTATATAATACTGCCTTTATATCATCCCCCCACTCCCAGGCCCTGACCAGATGTTTTATTGGGCATTTTTGGCAGTGCTTTTGTTTTGAAAATTTTTGAATATTATTGAAAGAGGAGAGGGGCAGGGGAAAAAAGCCCTCCCATAATTAATTCTCGTATATATTTAATTTGGCAGAACTTGAGAGAGAGTTGCTGGGATAAGGCGGGACATTTCTTTGATCTCCCAGACTTCTTAACGTGGAAGGCAACAGGTGTCGTGGCACGGTATGTTAATTACAACTTGTATTTTATTTGCGCTCATCCATTCTCGGTTGTCTGTGTATATATTGCTTTTTTAACTCGCTTTGACTGGACATACTGTTTGTACATCTGCATGTGATTTTATGTACCCGAAACATCTTGAACCCATCTTGTACTGCCCTGCATTTGCCCAAACACCATTGTTTCTCTGAGGCCTGGAATGTGGGTATCCGAGGCGAAGACCCTTCATTAACCTTGGCCGCAATTGGAAGGAGACTTGGAAGGTCCACAGTGAAGTGGGACTGTTTTTCCAAAGGCCCTCTTTCCACAGTGAAAAAAATGAAAATATTTTTCTTTTCTGGACCCAAAAATGAAGGCATGAGATATATTTTCAAGAAAGCCAATTTTAGCAAGATGGGTGCATTAGGAAGCAATGCCGCTTTCTGTAGCTAGGACTCTGAAGCCCAGAGCGCAGAGGTGTGTGTGTGCTGAAGTCAACAGCATTCTCCAAAAAGTCCTGAATTTTATAGATTAACAGGCTACAGTTGACAGAGCCCATTTAAAACTAACTACTCACTGAGTGTGAAGGTACAATCACTGTAATTATAGAGAGGCTGAGTGCCCGGGTGTATAGCGAGAGAGCTAGGTTAACCATGGTTAACCTCGTAGTCAAACATATGAGTCTGATGACCTTGACCTCCCGTTGCAGGGGATTCATAGAGGGTTCGGGAGGGGAGAAAGGTCTTTCCTTCTGTAAATGCTGTAGAATGGGTGTTTGACAAACCCGAGGACCCTTTCCTGAGCATGGATAAGCCAGATGCATATAAATGTCACTGTAAACCTATATATTTAAATTTAGATAGGAGAGCGGAATGCAATCTTCAAGTGAGTTTCGCCACAGATAACTAAATCTTCTTCGTTTCCCTGCTCATTTCAAGTTGGGACACCTGGGCCTGAGTTACCCTTATTTCTCTGCTCTTCTTTTCTGTCGTTTTTTTTTAAATTCCCTTGAGATACAGTTACAAAACTCATGCTTGAGTTTTGGTCATACAGTGATCAAACACCTATCCCTTCATCAGTGTACATTTTCTACCGCCAAAATTCCCAGTATTCCCCCCCACCCTCCACACACACACACACACACACACACACACACACACACACACACACTCTCAACCCCAACCCTTCCCCTGCCTGTGGGCCAGGCAATTCCCACAATATTCTCTCAATATTTTGACACCAGTCCCACCCTTATAAGTTGGAATTTTCCCACCACCACTCAAACCTGCCGAAAAGGCAGTGCTAGAGAATTTGTTTTGTATTGCTTGTTATGGATAGCATATAATGTTGCGCAGCCCCGAGAGCTGCCATGCACTTCTAGAATTGTAAATTTTTAATAATCATGGTCTGGAACTATCTCTGCAGTGAGCTGCTCTATTATGAGATTCCTTTGTGTGTCTTAATAAGTAGCCAGGCAGCATTTCGTGGGTGTCAACTCAGAGTCCCATCGGGGTGGGGGGTTCCTCTCTAGCTTGTGTATAGTTGTGACTTGGCCCTTTCTCTTAATTAATTATATTTATCTACATTATTTATTGATTGATATTTTTTCCTTAGTTAAGTGCCCTTTCTTGAGAGTTGATAAAAACCATGGTGTGATTTCAGAAATATGGACTCCCAAAGGGATGATAGAAGAGGACACTTTTCATAGACATGTTCCTCAGAGAGTGACCACCCCCACCACCCCGCCCCCACACCCCACCTCTGAGACCCTTTGAAGGTTGAGAGACCTAAGAGACCAATAAAAATGCCCTCAGCAGCCCTCGGATCCCCACCCATCTCTGGAGGAGTGGTCTGAAGTTTACCTCAGAAGGTACAGTTAGTCACATTATACTGTCATCACCCATGGGGAGTCCCATGTGTGGGTGACGGCTCTGACATTCTTTTTTGGTTGGAATGTATAACACTCATTGTGATTACTTTTTTTTTTCTTGGCAAGAACTTTTCTCTAGTTTCCCCTAGAGAAATAACTGCAGTTGTGGAAGAAATGCTCTGATCAAATGGGCCTGGTAATCAAGCATTGCTGAATAGTGGGCTACATGTGCTATTCCATTGGCCTATCTAGGCTGCTTGAAAGCAGAACTTGGAGAGAGGAGGACCTTGTTTCCTTCTTGTTTTGCTTCAGTTGGCCGAGGGATGGACTTCCTTCCTGCTGGCCTTATTCTGATGGTGCTGGATAACCTGGATCCACATATCCTGGTGACTTATGTTATATTTGTATCCCAAAGACTGAAGTTTCTGAGTCGTGCTCTGACCTGGGTAGATTTTAATAGTGGCATGCATATCCACAAGAGACTCTAAATTGACTTAGATATTGATTCTATCCCATCCAGTTATGTGATTTCGGGCATGTTCTTGTCTTTGTGTCTCACTCTCCTTATCTCTAAAATGGCACTCGTGGTATGTGCCTCGTCAGCTGTTGGGGCAGTTCTATGAAAGCCCTATGAAGACCTCATAGACCCAAAGCCCATGGTTTGATCCTCTGTATCACTACACTATCCTCCCGTTGTTCATCGATTTGCTGGAGCGGGTCCAGTAACGCCTCCATTGTGAGACTTGTTGTTACTGTGTTTGGCATATCGAATACGTCACAGGTAGCTTGCCAGGCTTTGCCATGCTGGCGAGATACTCTTGGTAGCTTGCCGGGCTCTCTGAGAGGGGCAGAGGAATCGAACCTGGATTGGTCAGGCTGGCTGCGTGCAAGGCAATCACTCTACCGCTGTGCTAAAATTGTAGAATGGTAGATTAACACCAACACCGGGTAATCTGGATACACCAAATAAAAGGTGAAGCTCATTGATGTAGGTTTATATCCAGACCTAAGCACCTGCAAACAGTAAGAGAGACGCTTCAGACACAGAACACTGGGGGAAATTTCAGAGGAATCCATGGGAGCACATGAACTCTGCAACAGAGGAAACAAATCAGCTGGACCTTTCAGAGTGGGACACGTGGTCAGAAGCTGTGGGGAGTGGGGGGAGGGACAGCCAGCACCTCCTGTGCTGGCCCGAGCACTGCTGAGGGAGCACAGTACAGAAGCACTGGTGAGTGAGAAAGGGAGTAGGAGATGCTCCCATAGCAACTGGGAACGAACACCAAGGGCAGGACAGAAACACACAAGACTTGACAGAGCACAGGGGAAGCCGCGAGTCCCAGCACGGGAGAGGGGACCAGAAGGAGAGAGGAAGGCCAGGACGTTCCAGGCACGAGCCCTCCCGGCCCATTCCAACTGCTGACTCCAGAACCGAAGGAGCTACTGACAGCAGTGAGCACGCGGGTAGGCCAGGTGCCCACTCAACTTCACTCTGCAAACAGGAGTGCGGCCTGCCCGCCTCGCACCCGCCTCTGCAGGAGGTGAGCACACTGCACTGTCTACAGCTCAAATGAGAGGGGCAGCCCAGCGCCAGACCAGCCTGGCTCTAGGGCCTCTGCCTCCAGCTCCACACGGGTCCCCTCGCGGCCTCACACGCGTCCCCACGTGGCGGCTGGCACACAGCCCTCTGCCCTAGCTCAGCCCTGCGGGATCCTGCCCCTCCCCACAGGGAGCTGTACTTGCCAGTGCCAGAGGCGGCAGCTGTAAGGCAGCAAGCAGAGGCCGGTCACCCAGCCAGGCCCCGTGGCAGTCCCCTCCCTCGAGACGCCCTCCTGAGGGTCCTGGCGGGGAAAGGGCGATTTGGACCCAAGGAAGGCCGTGGGCTCCAAGAGACACCCCCATGGGGGAAGGGCGTGCAGCTCTCCCCAGGCCATGGTGAGCAGACACCGGGGCCTGGGGCCAGCTGCCCTCCCCCATCACTGACCACCAGGCCTTCTCCTTCAGGGCCAGGCTCGTGGCAGATAATTCTGACAAAACCTGTTTCCAGCCAGTTCACAACCCGACACCTGACGACAGCCAGGTAGGGCGCAGGGTGGGCCTCTGGCATGCATGGACCCCCAAGCACCACAAAGTGCCCAGAGCCTGCAATGGACCTGAGCACAGGAGCAGGAATGTCCCCTGAGCACTGGGCAGGGAGCAGCCCCTGAGCACTGGGTGGGGAACAGCCCTTGAGCACTGGGCTGGGAGCAGCCCTGAGCACAGAGCTGGGAGCGGTCCCTGAGCATGACCACGTGTGCCCCGCAGTGCGCAGAGGGGCCAGTTGGCCTCCCTAAGCCTCCAGTGCGGCCAGGGCTGTGCCGGCTCCTCCCCCAGCCTTGACGAGGCACCAGCCTCTCTCAGTCAGGGCTGCAGTGCTGAAGTAGCATCTGACTTTAAAAAGCACCAAGTAAAAGGTGTTGGGAGGATCCTCCCAGGATGGGAGAAGCATGCTGAAAGTAGACTATAGACCAAACATGATTGCCACTCAGTGCCTCTTTTGCAAACCTCAGCACCCAAAAGGAGAGAGAGAACACAGAGGCAGGGTGGGATGGGGAGAATGGGGGATGGGAGGATACTGGGATCAGTGGTGGTGGAGAATGGGCACTGGTGGAGGGATGGGTACTGGATCACTGTATAACTGAAACCCAAGCACAAAAATCTGTAAGTCTACAACTGTACCTCATGGTGTTTCACTAATAAAAATAATAAATAAATAAATGAAAATGAAAAAAAAAAAAGCAAGTATTTCAAGAGCTTTTGACAACTCACAACTGCTGGAATTTACCTGAAAATACAGCGGCAATGTTATGCTGCCAGATAAGTGGTTCCAGAGTCCAACAGGACATTGGTTGTTAAGGATTTAGTTATTTCATGTGTGTGTCTGTTGCAGCGTATTCTGAATTCCCTTTTCCGCTCTCACTTCTGTCTCAGAGTAACTCATCCCGGAACATGAAATCCCACGGCAGGGCATGGCGCACCCGGCTGCTCAGACCCCTGTCTGGGGGGGCTTTAGGGACCCTCTGGGTCAGGCTCCTACCCTGGTCACGACCCCACTAACATCGCATCCACGTGTGTCTCTCAGTGCTTGGGGCCTCGCTGGGAAATGCCACCTCAC